TATCTATTTCAGATACATAAAAAAAAGACTATCAAAATAAATATTACAGTACTATAAATTTAATATGCAATATATATAATAGTAAAGTTTTGACTGGCTGCACACTTTTCACCTACTGTTTTATGAATACTGCAAATTCTGACATACTACAAGGACTTTTCCTATGCTGTTTTTCGAATGCTATGTAGTAGGCCTAGGAAAGTATGCAATTTTGGATGCAGCCAAAGAAAGATGCTTAAAAGAACGCATAATTATGCTCCGGTCAAACGTCATGAATTTGAACTTAATTATATACCCAATGCCAAGAGAAAGAATATAGGTCGCCAACGAAGGTGGAACTAAAGAGCTAAAGTGACACTGTATCTCAAATGACGCACTATACACTATGCACTCATACACAATGTACTTATGCACTATGTAATCAACCATGTATAGTATGAATTATATAAGGTTATTTTGTCATTCATAATTGGAGTCTGATAGCCCCTCCACCTTCGATATGTAATTAAAGCTGCAACAATTGAGTGCATGAAGTGTCCAACATTCCACACTTAATTTTTTCGGTTATTTAAGTGCATCATCAGGTTATTTAAGTCATAAGTGCACTTTTTCTTTTTGGAATTTTCAGTGTGAACACACTACTCACACTATTTATACTACAAAACTTCATAGAATAGTGCATAAGTATGCGATTTGGGACACACCTTGTGTCTACCATGGCACGACACAACGCGATAAATGTCAATAGAACCCATTATAATCTGTGATGCTGTCTATACTGGATACATCGCGGTACGACGCGACACAGCAGGTTCCCAGAAATTAAACTGATGCCTCTGACATACTGACACACAGTTCAAATGATTTGCAGTGGTCACATCCAGCGTAGACTTTAGCAGAGTATATTTTAGCTGTTGCGGCACGGCACAACACAACAACTATCACATCCGATGTAAACACGATGTTGAACTGAGAGTTAGCTAGGATGTCAACTTTAATCTAAAATTTCAATATTATCAAACCAATTTCAGAAATGTTATCCAACCAGGTGTGGAGTTTTAGAGGGAAATCAACTAATGGCACAAAACCTCACAGAATTTCTGAAATCTATTGCAAATAGAGTTGGGGAACTATGACGTCAGAACCTGGATATGTAATTCGCCGCGGACTCCTTCGAGATTTTCCCATGGGGTTTTATAATAAGGTTTTTCAATTTATGAGTAAAATAAAGCCTGTGGTAAACAACTTGATGATACTTTTACGTTTTGTTCGACAACGTAAATTACACACATCCATACACAAAACACAAATTTGGAAGCTGTTATGTTCATTTTTGAAAACGTATGTTTTTAATAAGTAACTTGATAAAAAAAGTTTGGGCTGTGAGTGTGTGCAGTTTACAATGTACAAAACCTAAAAGTAACGTCAAGTTATGTTTACCACAGGCTTTATTTTACTCAGAAATGGACAAAAACCTATTATAAAACCCCATAGGAAAATCTCGAAGGAACCCGCGGCAAATTACACTGCCTGGTTCTGATGTTATAGTTCCCCCACTCTATACGTAACATTTCTGCTGCTGTTTACCCACCAAATGTAACTTCCTTAAAGATGATGTCACTAAAGAGCTGGCTTTTGTTATAAAATAAAACTAACAGGGATGGAAATTAATATTGAGGACATATTTCCAAAGAAAATGTTTTGTTTAAAACATTTCAAGATGTAAAAAGGGGAGAAAAACACCTGAAATTAGTCCTAAAGGGTTAATTCGTCCAAAAACGAAAATTATGTCATCATTTATTAAACCGTGTGTCGTTCCAAACCTGAATGACATTATTTCTTCTCCTGTAGAACATAAAAGAACAGAAATTTCTATGTTTTCGTCCATACAATGGAACATACAATGGTTCCTCAAAATATCTTCTTTTACCTTCTGCAGAAGAAATAAAGTCAAAGAGGTTTGGAACGACATGACAGTGAGTAAACTATGACAGGATTTTACTTTTTGGGTGGCTTATGCCTTATTTTTACTGCCATATTTTAAGAGCATTCATGCAGAATCCTTTAACATGGTAAAATGGCAACATAAACTCAAACCAAAGAAATTATATTATCATTAATGCACTCTTAAATCAATTGGATTGTGATATAAGAAAACTGATTTCTAGTTAAAAAAATTGTGAGATTAATATTTTAGCAAATATATTTGATGAAAATGAAGTACCTGCAGCTTATACAGCACCCAATCTGTCATATTTTTTGGTGAAGCTGGACAGATACATCAGCATTTTGCTGTTAGCCTGTCACTGCAGCCTGCAGGCAATAAACTCCATTATAAAGTACCAGCAGTTTTGAGTTTTCCATGATTCCTTCTATCCATTTCACAACACCGGCCTCAGTAGATCCTTTCCTTTGATTCTCTCACAGGCTCTCAGACAAAGTGATTCATTCAATAGACTGTTCAATAATGGTTTGGTCTTAAATGAAGCACTGTTTGGTTTCAATGAGATTTCAGTCCTCTAAAATATCCCTTTGACTTGTTATTTGTATCGACTGTGGTATTTTCTCACGCAGGCCAGAGATGGTGGAACAGATCAACGTTGATGCTGAAAATATTTCAGGGACTTTGCGCAACATTCATGATTCAGGAAAGGTTTAACTTACCAGAAGCCATAACGGTTCCGGTGTCATCTGCATCTTTAGATTTTGGTTCTCATCTGGAGGTTCATGACCCAAAAATGGGTCACTTTTTCCTGTACTACTTCCTCCTTGTCGCTCCATCCTACTTCTGCTGCGGTTTGTTTGCCCATAAGTCTCATCACCTGCCAGAAGCCAAACATGGTGGGCGGATGGATGTTACATTAATAGCATCATACAGTACAGGTCAAGTTTATCAAGTCTGTAAAATCACAAAATAAATGCAATCAAATTCGCCCTCGCTGCTTAAGTCTAATCAGCCAAGAGTTGAACTCGGGTCTCTGTGGCTAATCAGCCAAGAGTTGAACTCGGGTCTCTGTGGCTAATCAGCCAAGAGTTGAACTCGGGTCTCTGTGGCCTCATTGCAAGATACTTTTCTCTTCACAGTGCAAATATGTAAAATGTAACAATGTCAAATATCTATTTCAGATACATAAAAAAAAGACTATCAAAATAAATATTACAGTACTATAAATTTAATATATAATATATATATATATATATATATATATATATATATATATATATATATATATATATATATATATATATAAAATGCATTTTATTTATTTATATTTTATTTATTATTTATTTATATATGTCATTTAACATATACTATAAATACAATATACCATAAATAGTACATACATTGTATATATACTGCATAAAGAATATATTAGAATATACTTTTAAAAGTGAACAGAAAATGCTTAACTTCTGTCATTGACATAGACTGAATGTTAGGGCTGGACAATTAATCTAATTTTATTTCCAGTTATGATTTTGGCTTGCAACAAATTATTATTTTGATGCATTCAGTTTTGTAAATAATGCTCTCGATTTATTTTTTTATCACATTTCGTTTGCGGTTTAATTATATTTTAAAGGTGACATATCATGAAAATCTGGCTTTTCCAGGTTTTAAGTGCTATAATCAGGTACCCAGTGCATCTATCAACCAAGGAAACGTGAAAAAGATTAAAGGCACAATATGTAAAAAAATTTTATTAAAATATCCAAAAACCACTAGAACAGTGTTATGTATTTTGCTGACTTGTGTACTTACATTATCCCAAATGTTTCGAAGAATGTTTAAATCCAGAGAAATAAGCAATTTTAACTAGTGACACGGACCGTTTCCATAGTGTCATTGTGTCGCCTGCCAATGACGTCATACACCCTCGATTTCCGGTTTTGTTTTGTAGAAAACATGAAAACACCAAAGACGCTTTAATATGTTATGCGTTTTAATAGACTGGTGACGACTGCACAGAGTAGCATTATAACAGAACTTGCCAATGTATCTAGTATGATAAAACAGGGCTGCTTTTTTTCCCACATACGCACGACCGGAAGGAGCGGAAGCGGTCGACTGTGCATAATAAAAGATCCGCTCGTTGAGCGGCCTCATTTCGAAAATTACATATTGTGCCTTTAACCCAGTAACTTTGTTTTGGTAAGCCTTTTTCTGCAAGCGTTAGAAAAAACGAGCACGTCTGATTTCGTTCCCTTGGTGAAGTGGCAAAGGGATCTCATTATAATATTACCGCCCCTTAATCTGTAAGTTTCCACCCATGGAACAGTTATTGTGATATTCAAAAAGGGTTTTGTACGAACCGGGGGGGGGGGGGTCCCCGGGTCCCCTCAACCAGCTCAATATGTGGAGCTCAAAGGAGATTCCAAAAAGAATCGATTCCTAAGCATTGGGAATCAAAATATGGAATCGACTCATCATAGCAATCTGCCGTATTCACTGTAGCCAGGTGTTTTTGAAAATTCGAAACAGATCCTAAAATAATTCAAAGCACTTTCGAAGTACATTTTGGGGTAATCTACATACTTAAAGCGTTCTGAAACGTTGGTGAATATGCAGAACTTGATGATGATTATGTATTATAATCATTATTATATACATAATTATTATTTTTAGTATGTTTGTGTTCATACTAATGTTTGTGTTTTGTTTATACTTTTCACTTTATGTAGTAGGCGTTTGATTAGGTATAGGCCTACGTCGTTTTGGAGTGAAATAAAGATTAATCCTTTTTTATATATATATATAAATAAATAATAATAATAGCCTAGGCATAGTTTCGATCGTGAACGACTTGGTTCGAATCGGTTGAGTGAATTCAATTACTCGATCACAAAACAAAACTTACTGCCATTTAATGCTGTAACCTGCAAAACGATTTTCTGAACGAATCAATCATTTTGATTAGCAGATTACTGCTATAGCTTCATTTGGCCTTGACTTCAGAAGAGAAAATATACAGCTGCGTTATATATTCACGTCCGGTAAGAAGTGCATCCCTGAGAGCGTGTTAGGATTACACATTGATGAATATATCAAGCATTGCGACACTGCTACACAACATGAGGTATGTTCTATTGACTTTACCTGAATAAACAAGATGCAGCGTCATAAACCTATAGATGCCATAAACAAGTATAAATACAGTCATTATCAGTGCACTCGTGCTTCATCCAGATAATAAACCTCGACTTGTTGAATTACGGTGGTAATTAGCTTCACAGTGCCATTGCTCAAAGTTACCTAGTAAAAGGTTATTGTGAACTTCCAAACTTCAGAGACAGTTTGAGTTTGTCCTTTTGTAATAATTATTAGTAATAGTGTCGTAATTAATTATTCTGGACGTGTTTAGGTGGAGTGTTTGGCACTTTTATGCCCAAGAGGCATTTTTTAGTTATTATATTTATTTATTATTTTATTTTAATTAATTAATTAATTTTTCAAATTTTAAAATTAGACTTTTTTTCATGCATTTTAAAATGGCCAGCATGTAGGCTGTAGGTTTTATTGTGTTACCTTAGACCTAGACTTTCAAACTCAAATATAAAAATATGAATTATTACGTTTTAACTATGACAATATGAACAAATTATGGAGTAAACAAACAATTTTGTGACATTTGTACACAAATGATGACTGTCCCTCAATCGTGGTGTAGTTTCCAACACAATCAGCTATTTTACCTATTTTTAAATTGTCAACAATTAAAAAAAACTGTAAGAAATTTGTCTTTGAGATAGCTAGTTTTCATTTATAGTATGATCCGTTATCTATAGATAAACTCATTGAATGTTATTTAAAATGATTTTGTCCTCCATAACTCATTCATATTAAACTGTGATTTTGTTTGCCATTATCTGCATTCATGAAACAGAGTGACAACTACATGCCCACTTTGTCAGAAGGAGTTTTTCCACCTTCAGCAGCATCTTAAAAAATCACACCACTTGGCAAACCGTGAGGAGCTCCGCCTCATCGTTCTTTACAGCTCTGGGCGGTAATTTTTCTAATGTATAAGCATTCTTGTTTGATTGTTTAGTTATACATGTATGAAATTAGTGCTGGGCGGTATGACCAAAAATTTATATCACGGTATTTTTCAAAATTATACCGGTTTCACGATACATGACGGTATTTTTTTTTTCATGCATGACCGGGTGTTAACCATATTTTCTACTGATTGAGAGAGGAAATACTGCAGTATATTGACTTAGAATGCCCTATTTTACTGTCATGATGAGTGAATATTGTCAAAAAATACCACACTAAATAGTGACTAAACACGACCCCTTTTAATACATGTTAACCAGGAGTCACTCTCATTTATAATCGCGGCATCATCTGATAAAATCAACATGCATCTACACTAAAGAGCGGCTATGCGGTTGTTTTGGCTATATTACTTTTTTGTCTCATGCAGCACACTGCCTGCGTCTGAGTAACAAACTAAAAAAAACAACAAAGTGCATGTGATATTATCAGACGAACTATGCTCATATTTATAATTCCAAACAATCAGTAAGTGACAAGTGCTTGGAAACACTGTTTTGTTCTCATTTATTGATGAGTCGGCTGCAGTGTGGCCAACTGAATGCGCTGCTTCTCTGTTGCTCACTGCACAGAACAGACGCCGAGAGAGGTGACACTTCTCCGGGAAAGTCAGACCTTGCGTTCGCGGGACAGCACTGGCGAAATCTTCCAACTGAACCATAGCTAAGGTTTATCCAAAAAAGTCACTAGGTTTGTCAGTATGAATATTCTATGGAAAAAAGCCGCTAAAAGGGTCTGAAAGTAGCTAAATCTAGTGCTAAAGTCACTCTCGTGTGTGTGAGACGCGGGAGCTGATGGCAGGGGGCGGTCAATGTGGATATTGTGGATGAGTTCTTCTGTGTCATCACGTTCTATTAGTTCTACAGCTTCAGTTTCTGAACTTTCACACTTAGTAACACATACAGCTGTTCCCTCACCACAGTGCAACAGTGAAAAGGGACTTCTTTCAAACAGTGTCGCGTTCCGAACGTTGTTTAAGCAACATACACTGGTATTGCGGTATTTAAAAAATTCATATCATTCGGTATGAACCGGTATACCGCCCAGCACTATATGAAATGTTCATTAAAAGGACATCTTTTAATTTATTTTTAGTATTAACAGCAAATTGAAATGCCCTCATTGTGCCAAGGATCTGGTTCGTCTGGATAAGCATTTCGCTTTCTTCCACAACCTGAGTGTAAGTTGTTTATTTTACGTAATTGCATTCTCATATAAATATACTTCTGTCAGGATCACTATCGTCAAAATGATAGATACTTAGCATAAAGTTTGGTTTGGCGGTATGGTTCTGTTCTGGGCAAAAACCTCCCTGCTCATCCATGCAGCCTGTCATGAATGAGCAGGGAGAGCAGCAATAATAACCCCCCTAGGGTTAACAGAACAGAACAAGGCAGATATCATTAATGTACTTAATGATATTTAAGTGTAACACTTTATTCAAGAGAAAGGAGTCTTATTAGCAAGGAATATCAGAAAGCCAAGTCCTGACTGTGGTGAAAGGTGGAGCTGGGGATGGAGGAGGGTAATTTGCTCCGGAGCAAGCTGAAAAGCTGCTGAATAGAGCTTATATAGGAATGCCGCAATAGGTGTTGTATTCCTATAGGTAGATGTGATCAGCTGAGAATCAGCTGATGCAAGCTTGACTCACGTGACCTGCCAGAACTAACGCTAACGCTTAATTGTATGTCAATACATCTTAGTGTTTGCTCTGTTTGTCAGGCTGTGGACCGTCAGGCACAACTAAAACGTGCCAAACAACAAAGGGTACTGGAACTCCTTGCGACTCTCCGGGCCTCACATCCACATCCACCAATGCTGACAAGCCTGGATGTGCAAATGAGCAACAAAGCTGAGGAGGAACATCCAGACGTCCCCCAGAATGTTCCGGCAGCCCCTGCCAATGATCCCGCAGCTCCTGCAGCCAAGACACGATCCAGGACAGCCACTAGTTTGAGCTCTGGAATGAAAAAATACAGAATAACGCGACAAATTGCAGATATCGCAGCTCTGAGAAGGAGGATAAGGGCCATGAAATATGAAAGGGCGCCTTCCAGGTCTTTCATATTCATTCATTTACAGTTGAAGTCAAAAGTTTACAGACACCTTGCAGAATCTACAAAATTATTATTATTTGACCAAAATAAGAGGGATCATACAAAATGCATGTTATTGTTTATTTATTTGGTGGAGTTTCGGTTGTGACATCTTTGTTTTTTGGGGTGTTAGAATCCCATAGAATTGTTGCTATACCGAAACAGTCACTACCGAAACATCATCATCACAAAAGGTAACACATAATCCTCATATTTGGGGGAAATAATCAAAATTTTAATACAGTTATGCAATTTTTTAGTATGTTTTAGTAGTGTTTTAGTATGTAAGTTAAAATTATGTAATGTGATGTGGTTGCTACCAAAGCATTACTGTCACTACCGAAACATGGGAAGTTTTGTCAAAAATAAAGTATACTGAATTATCAACTAGTTTTTGGTTCAGTGTATATTCAAACTAATGCATTCTTAACTTTGAAATCGGTGTGATCAACCTTTTGCCTTTTACAAAAAAAAAATTGGATTCAAAATACAACAAATCTCATAAATTACACTTGAAATATTGTTAAAAATGTAATTGTTATGGATTTACCTCTGAAAATTGTAATAAAATAGCAAAATATATATATTTACAATCTAGATGTAAGCAAAATCTTAATAGGTCAATATAACCCTTCTAATTAAATTACTATTACACTCTTAAAAATAAAGGTGCTTCAAAAGGTTCTTCAAGCGATGCCATATAAGAACCTTTTTTGGTTCCACAAAGAACCATTCAGTCAAAGGTTCTTTAAAGAACCATTTCTTTCTTATCTTTTTGTTATCTGAAGAACCTTTTTTCACCACAAAGAACCTTTTGTGAAACAGAAAGGTTCTTCAGATGTTAAAGGTTCTTTATGGAACCATTTAGACAAAAAGGTTCTTCTATGGCATCGTGAAGCACCTTTATTTTTAAGAGTGTACTGTGTTTCGATAGTGATACATTCGGGGAGAGGACAAATATTCCAAAACTTTCTGAAAATACAATATGAGAATTAACTGCACAATTGCTAGAAATGTGTACCTTGGATATTCTACAATTTGCATACATACAATTTTTTTGAAAAAGACAAAAAAGAAAGAGGTCTGTTATGCACATCAAAGCTGCATTTATTTGATCAAAAATACAGTAAAAACAGAAATATTTTTTAAATGTAAGTTGTGGAAGCCACGATACACTAACATTAAAAGGTTTGGGGTAAGATTTAAAACAGTAGAAGAAGAAATGAAAACTTTTATTCTGCAAAGATGCATTAAACTGATCGAAACTGGCAGTAAAGACATAAAGTTACAAAAGATTTCAAATAAATGCTGTTCATTGAACTTTTTATTCATCGAAGAATCCTGGAAAAAAATTTTTATCACAGTTTCCACAAAAATATTAATCAGCAAAAATATTTTTGTAGAAACCAGCAGCAGTTTTTTATGAAAAGTAATAATATTACCAGTAATAATTGATAATACCTAAGCAGCAAATCAGCATATTAGAATGATTTCTGAAGGATCATGTGACACTGAAGTCTGGAGTAATGATGCTGAATAAAATTGGTTTTAAAATACATAAATCTAGAAGACTATTATTTGAATTGTAATAATATTTCACAATATAACTGATTTTATTGTATTTTTTATCAAATAAATGCAGCTTTGGTAAAGAGACTTCTTTCAAAAAAATGTATTCCAACTTTTGACAAGTCTGTGTGTGTATGAGCGTGTATAATACACATATGCATGTATCATAACCAAATAGCTCTGCTATCTGATTATATTTCAGGTTTGTTTGTGGTGTGACCAATTCCACAGCTATAAAACACAAATTGGAGCACTTGGAGCATTTTCTAAAGTGGATCCTGAAAACAAGATCGAAGTGGGTGCGTGCATCTCTGAGCTATGCCATCATGATGATAAAGAACATTAAGAAGCATGTGACACGTGGCAGTATGACCCGCCAGCAAGAAGTTGGTAAGAAGTGCATATTACATATGATCTGGGAATTTTAAATGTGTATTCCATCCTGAAAAAAGTCATTGAAATTTCTGTAATAAATTGATTATTTTATCTATTTATTACTTGATTATCCTGTTAAATGTCTTATTGGCCGTAACGAAGTTTGATTTGTGAATAAGTCGTTCTTTTTAAGTTAACTGATCCATAAATTGGTATTTGAAAAAAAAAAGTCCTGTGATGGCAAAGCTGAATTCTCAGCATCATTACTCTTCAGTGTCACATGATCCTTCAGAAATCATTCTAATATATTGTAGTGCTGTCAAACAATTAATCGCGATTAATCACATCTAAAATAAAAGTTTGTGTTTATGTAATACATGTGTGTGTACAGTTTATTTATTATGTATATATAAATGCAATCACACATGTATATATTTTAAAGATATTTACATGTTTATATATAATTATATTTACATATAATTTATATTATAAATAGAAATATTTTATATACAAATATAACATTTTTCTTAAATATGTACATGCATGTGTGTCTATTTATATATACAGAATACAGTACACACACATTTATTATGTAAACTCAAACTTTTATTTTGGATGCGATTAATCGCGATTTGCTGCTCGTGAAACATTTCTTATTATTGTCAATGCTGAAAACAGTTGTGCTGCTACATTTGTTTTTTTTTTGTGGAAACCATCATACTTTTTTTTCAGGATTCTTTGCTGAATAAAAAGTTCAAATGAATGTAATTTATTTGAAATGAATCTTTTGTAACATTATAATTGTCTTTACTGTCACTTTTGATACATTTTTGCATCCTTGCTGAATTATTAATATATTATATTATATTATATATATTAATATATTAATTTCTTTCTTTTTTTTAATCTTACACCAAACTTTTGAATGGCAGTATATTACTGTATATAAAATGGATGATAATACTAAGAACTATTAATAATAATAATTATTAATCAATAATAACTGATGATAATTGAGCACCAAAGCATACTATAATAATTTCTGAAGGATCATGATACACTGGAGTAAGACTGGAGTAATTGCTGCTGAAAGGAATAAATTACATTTTAAAATATATTAAAATAGGAAACAGCTCTTTTAAATTGTAATATTTCATTATTTTACTGTATTTTTGTTCAGTAAATGCAGAGTGGGTGAACATAAATAAATTCATTTAAAAATGCAATATTTAAACACTTCAACTGGTAGTGTACACAGTATATACAGTGTGTGTGTACTATAAAACTAAGAAAATATCAACCATTTTTAATATTGTGATTTTCAAGCCTTCAAGCCATCTTACTTTTCTTAATTCAAAGGTCAAGACACAAAGGCAGTTTCCTCATGCCAGTGAGGACTTGCTGCCAGACCGATGCACGATTTCTCAGAGAGGTACCTGTAAATAGTCTGTTTAAACATCATAAACATTACATATGTTTAAGAGCAGAAAATCCAGGATTTACATGAATAATCTTGACACGAAGTCACAAGTCCATATTCACAGAGACTTAAGTTAAATTGCTGTATTTAATAAAAATAAGTTTATTCTGTCTGTCAAGAGACATTTTTTCACCAATGTTAAAACAATTTCAGAAAAGCTGTTGTTTTTTTGTAGCAAGCCTGAGAGAATAGAACATCTTGCAAAATGCATCCAAGAGAAAATCTTAAAGCAGGAATCTCAATCATCATCCCCAAAATGCTCTTACATGTGCTCATTCACCCACACAAATCCACGTTCACGCTTGTGTCCTTGACGGGGTCATTGCTAAATCTCTTTCTGAGCTCCAGTGCTAAATATGCAAGAGAAGACCAGCACCTGAATGTTAATCAGCTTCTTCGTCTTTACACAGCTCACTACTGATGCCTTTGGACCTCCAGTACATGGCTCTCTGAACATGATGGATGAAGCTAGACTGATGTGCTGTCACATGTCCATGCCACTCCAAAGATAAATACGTTACATTTGGACCAGGTTCTGACAGCTTTTGTTACAGCATTGTTTCAGGCATTTTATTATTTGCTGCTTGTCTTTTCTTCTGTCATATAATCTTTTTCTCGTAACCATAAGCTTGCGTTTTTGTTGTTAATACAGTACAGCTTTCTTTATTGGTGGTTTTTTATGTAAATATGTAACCAATAAAGGTACACATAAAAATACCGCTATCTCTTTTTTTGTTTTATTGTTGCTAGGAGTTAGGAAACAAAGAAACAGTCCTTGATTGTGGTGTTAGGCAAATTTGTGCATTAAAATACAATCGCATAAGAAAGTGAATGTTTTATAAACCTATAGAACATAAATTCCAAAAATAGACATATAAAGGTTGCTTCCATTTATTTTCCTCACCAAAATGTTAAAGTATAAGATGTGTTAAGTGTCCACTAGAGAGCAGTATGTGAACGTTCAAAAAAATAGGAATTATGTTATTCTTTATTGAAATTTGAATTCGTGTTATAAAATTAAGTTGTAAAAAATGATATTTTAAATAGTATATTATCCTTTAAATAGCTTTAGCATTAATGTGCATTACACAAGTAGGCCTAAATAAGGTTCATTTTGATTTAACATATTTATTTTGAAATCCTTCAATTTGGTCAGAGCCAATTGCATGAAATCAAGTGCTAAATGGCATTTAAGTCACTTAAGGTTTTGTGTAAGTAATAGCAAAAAATAGTAAGAAAGTAATTATCAATTTTCATGGTCGGTGACCGCAACTACAGATTTAAAAACGTTTATTCTGTCTCTGTGGAGAGCTCTTCACATCAGGTGTGTTTGATTAGCAACACCAGTCATTCAAAGTTTCAAATATTAACAAATCCTTCAGCCAGGGTGGTTTTTGCTGTGGCAGCGGGTTTGTGGAAGTGCACCGAAAGCCTTTGTAAACATTTTGTGAGGCGCGCTTTCCTGCAGATTCCCACGACACTTCCGCCACGTCTGGGGTCTCTGGTCAAACACTGTGCGTTTCTGTCCAGCTCTCAGCTCTGCGCTGACAGGATCGCCATTGTTTTTGCTCTCCCTGGAGCACCCAGCTCACTTAAAGGATAAATGTGTCTGTTGGTGACCTAGTAAAACTAACAGCCGGCCAGGCTTGTGCTCATTGTGTCAGAGTGGCAGAAAGGGGCCCACAGCTACCGTTCTCTACACACACACACAAACTCATTAGTCAGAGCAGTTATTTTCAATGTACACCAAGTGTTTGTCTTTGTCTTAAGCTGTAATAACCCCATCTCCAGCTACTATGTTAACCTAGTTCACAAAAATAGCTAAAATCTAACATATGTTGGCACTTAAATGTCATACATTTGTGAAACCACAATTATGGCATGATCAATTTAACAGGCAAAAATGTTCGTTGTCAATAGATGCTTAAAGGGATAGTTCACCCAAAAATGAAAATTTGATGTTTATCTGCTTACCCCCAGGGCATCAAAGATGTAGGTGACTTTGTTTCTTCAGTAGAACACATTTGATGATTTTTAACTCCAGCCGTTGCAGTCCATCAGTCGTATAATGCATGGCAATGGTAACAAAATCTATGAGAGTAAAAAAAAACATGCACAGACAAATCCAAATTAAACCCTGCGGCTCGTGACAACACATTGATGTCCTAAGACACGAAACGATCGGTTTGTGCGAGAAACCGAACAGTATTTATATAATTTTTTACCTCTAGTGCACCACTATGTCCAACTGTCTTTGGGCGCGCGCACGGCTTCCGGTGCGTGAGGTGCGTACGCGCTCTGGCGTAGTTTACGTTAAAGGGTGTGTTGATATCCAGCCGAACCAATCAACCATAACTTCAGGCGAGCAGGCTCAGAAGTTGGGAATACGTGGAAAGTCACCACTCCCGAATGAGTTTGCGTGAGAGAACGTAATCTTTTAGTTTTAAGTCGGTTTGAACAATCCGGATAAGCGCAAGTAAGTACCATTTTGATTAGCCGTAGTACCTACAATGACTGTGCACTGTGTAAACAATGATTGACGTATATGCGCGAGAGATCACTTCCGGCGCTTGCGCAAACTACGCCAGAGTGCGTACACACCTCACGCACCGGAAGCCGTGCCTTAAAGGGATAGTTCATTTTTGGGGGAACTATCACTTTAAGACATTGCTCCCATATAATCACTATAAAACCAAGCAAATTTCTGTTGGACAGCACTGCAAATTCGTGTGAAAGCTTGAAGACAAGCAATAACTGTTTTTACCCTCATGCAAAACTTTTTTAAAAAGTTACATGGATTTCTCCTGAAATGAGTATAGGTCATAAATCCCGCCCTCTCCGTATAAATGATCTGGGACCTAAGCCATATTAAAAAAAGAATCAGATTACACTTCAAATAATTTCCCCCAAAGATAGTTTCTGTCATTTTAGGTAATTATGCTCAAACTGATGTAGGTTCAAGTGTTCGTTTTGTTAATATGCTTGCTTTTAGTTAGTTATTTGATGCTATAAAAATGGAGTGTGGTGTCATGACGCCATCGGCACAAGATGGCAGCATATCTGGGATATTTTGACTTCACTCTTATATAGTGGAGGGAAGTACAGATGCGTAGGCCATCTTTTTTTACAGTCCATGTCCACATCACATGGATTCCTATTAAAATGTCTGTATTTTGTCTGCAAAATTGTATCTTCCTTGGTTCCTAAATAGCATTTCTTTGACCACAATATGGACTTTTTGACTTTGGCCAGTAACCAACACCTTAGCTACACCCTAGCAACCATCCACAACATCCTAGCACTGTGGTGGTGGGGAACTGAACAAGCACATCACATGTAAAAATCAAAATGTAAAAATCTATTTTGACGTCAATACTGAAAGAGTTTGCAACATTAATATTTAAAAAACGTATATAAAGAAATAAACACTCAACACACAAATAAAGAAAAACACTTCTAATTGGCTGCTTGGTAAGGAGGCCTGATTACTATCCAGTCTGGTTCCAAATAAGAGCTGTATGAGATGTTGTGTTGTGCGTATAAAAATTCTGTTTGAGAGACTAGACTTTCATGTCAAGAGTTTCAGTCCAAGCTCAGAATGGCAGAGCCAGTGGAGGATAGAAAGAGGTGAGTGATGTGTGTCAGGGATCGCAGAAATGAGAAAAGCCAGACTAGCCTAAAAGAGGAAGGCAGAGGATTGGAGTTATTCATTATTCAAAAAATCCCCCAAATTATCGTTGAATATTGATTTTGGCCAAATAAGACAATATGTCTGTTTGGTGAAATTAAACTCTTAAAGAACAATCAAACCAATTCAAACTGCCTCAAAATCTATGAAAATAAAATAAGTGGCAGAAATCTCCCATTTACATGTCTAAATTTGATCAGACCATTCTCATCTGACTTTGATCATGTGGAACACATGAGCTATTAAAATAGACAAGATTATTATTTCCAATTAACAAAATGCATGCTGATTACTTACTGTCAAGTTAGGTGCAATTTTACTTCAATAATAATAAAAAAACACTTTAACCTGGGTTTAATAAAATACTAAATTGTTCAAATGTTTTTTGTTTTATATATATATATATATATAAAACAAAAGTACATTTAAAGTTTAAATGTACTGTTTTAAAATGAATATTGGAATTTAGTTTTACCTGTATTTAGAATCATGCATTATGTGTTTCAGAGTTAAAGGAAATGTCCGTAAGCATAACTGATAATGTTCTTATCAGTTTACCAGCACCTTTTCTGTTTTTCTACTGATTTTTTCTTAGGTTGCCTTATCTCACATAAAAAGATCTCCTATTAAAAACAAAAACAGTTAAATCTATACGTAACCATTGTTGTGCACTTACAAAGGTAGGTTCATTTGATATCAAAGATTTAGTTGCTTTACTTCAGCCTTAGATGTTAATATGCATCCCCTTGGACGCAAAGCGACTGCTTTGATCTGGGACGTATCATGCATGCGTACTTTCTTCCGTTTTGCGCTTAGAAATCTGAAGCTGGAGTGAATTTTGCCATCATCATCAGGTTCATATCCCCCATAAGTTCCCAGAACACCCTCAATCGCCAGCAATTATGAGAACTCTGAGCATGTACGAGCTCTAAAACTGATATCATTTAAAATTCTCCTTCTTCCACGTATGTGAAATATTTCATTCGCTGAGAGAGTATTTTATGCACAAAGAACTCTGGGCCCAAGTTAATTTAACCTTCCTCTTCCCTCGGGTGCGGCCCGTGGAGGCTCGGCTCTCTTTCTCTCTGCTGCCTCGTTGTTTTGTGCGGGTGGAGGTGCTGGAGATGTAGCTGTGGGGGTTTTGGATGCTGTAGGAGGTTAATCTAATATCACATGAGCGAAATCTCAAAGGAAATGGCGTTATGTTTACACCCCGCAGCACACAACACACACAAAACAAGTCCCAGACTATAACTCACGGTGCTCATCATCATTGTCGGTAGTGGAGTCATAACATTCATCATCTGCATCATCATTGTCATCAAGGTTTGCCTCATCAATTGAATCCCCCTGGCCAGATGTAGAGGTTAACTTTTGAACCGCACATCAATGGTGGCCTCTTGTGGCTGACGGATCCATACAGCTTTACTTTCTTGGTGTGTGTTCTTTTTCTCAGGCAACTTTAGCACAGGAAGCCCTTGAGAATCATATGGTACAGTTGCTACTGTTTTAGAGTGTTTGCACGTGTGTCCTTGCATTTGAGGTTCAAGACCTTACAGAACATCAGAGGTTCCAAAAAACACTTAGTAGAAGGAGACAAACCTCTTGTAAAGTAAACTGAAGGGAGGAAATTGTAGGCACTCCAATATGGAAGTAAGATTAGATATATCCACCTTAAAAGAGCCACTTTGATGCAGTTTGTAGAATGTGCTTGTGCATTTAGTCCGTTTTTTTAATGTGATTTGAGCTAATGTTATTGGAACAAAATCTTGACACAGATTTAGAAATTTTAGTCATTAGGTAGAAGGAATTGTACTTAAAGGGATAGTTCACCCAAAAATAAAAAAAGTTCTATCATTAATTACTCACCTTCGTGTCGTTCCAAACCAGTAAGACCTTCGTTCATCTTCGGAACTCAAATTAAGATATTTTTAATGAAATCTAAGAGCTTTCTGACC